ATTCAGTTCATACGCTTGGACAGATAGTTCAAGATGGAGAAACTCAGCAGTCGGTTCATACACTTGGACAAATAGTTCAAGACGAAGTAACCATTCTAAGGTGACAGATGCCTTATATAGGTAGAATTCTCAGAAACGGTTCAAAAACAGCAAATCCAACGCACAGGTCATTAATGCTGAAAACTGACAACGGCAAAATCAATGCATTAAAAAAAACGGTTCAACACGGAAGTGTTCACACACCTGGAAAAGCAGTTCAGGTTGAAGCAACCAATTATCCAGTTCTTACACACCTGGCAAAACAGTCCAGGTAGAAGCAACATAGCAGTCGGTTCATACACTTGGACAAATAGTTCAAGACGAAGTAACCAGCCATCAAGTTCAGACGCCTGACGGCTCAACTCAGGATGAAGCAGCTTTGTATTCAGTTCATACGCTTGGAAAGACGATCCAAGACGAAGTAACTCAGCATTAGGTTCATACACTTGGACAGGTAGTTCAAGACGAAGTAACCAGCCATCGAATTCACACGCCTGATGGATCAACTCAGGATGAAGCAATTTGGTAATTCAGTTCATACGCTTGGACAGATAGTTCAAGATGAAGAAACTCAGCAGTCGGTTCATACACTTAGACAAATAGTTCAAGACGAAGTAACCAGCCATCAAATTCACACGCCTGACGGATCAACTCAGGATGAAGCAATTTGGTAATTCAGTTCATACGCTTGGACAGATAGTTCAAGATGAAGAAACTCAGCAGTCGGTTCATACACTTGGACAAATAGTTCAAGACGAAGTAACCAGCCATCTTTCTTCTAAGGTGACAGATGCCTTATATAGGTAGAATTCTCAGAAACGGTTCAAAAACAGAAAATCCAACGCACAGGTCATTAATGCTGAAAACTGACAAAGGCAAAATCAATGCATTAAAAAAAAAACGGTTCAACACGGAAGTGTTCAACGTACAATGCATTAATTCCAAAATTCAAACTCGGTTCACACACGTGGAAAAGCAGTTCAGGTTGAATCTATTCAAATGTTGCAGTGTGCTTTGCCTTTCTCGTTTGATTATACTGGAGGGCGATACTTGATTAGGCAGAGAGAAATCTTAGAATTTGATTTTACTAGAGATATTTTGCCTTCAATTATAAATGAAACATATTCAGATTTGTATCCTCAAGCAGTAAAGTGTTTGTTAATGACAATTGTGTTTGTCTGTTGGACAAGCGGGACTTGACTGTCTAATACATCCCCAGAAGAGTCATATCACCTCCTGGGAAGGATTCGTCAACTTCATCAGTCAAATGTATTCATAGGGCTTATATTCTCAAACAGTGATGTTTTTCCCCAGCTGAGTATTCTCCAAACAGAAAACAACGATGTTGACCAAAATACAAACAGCGGTTGACAGGTAGCATCAGATGGTATCAATGTCACGTTTTCGGAAACTGTTAAGGAAGTTGTTAAACAAAGTAGTGATGACAGTCTATTCCCCACAGAAAAGCTCCCTAGCATGATCTTGGGTTAACTGTTATTCCCCAGCGGAATTTCAAAGCATCTGTTTCAAAAAATCAAATTTCCCCGCAGAGGTTGCATCTCCAGCAGGTTTTATCTGTCAGGATAAAATTTCTCCATTATTCTCCATGAGTGTATTTGATGGTGACGGTATCCTCAATCACTTGCTGCTAAAGCCGAGGTTTTGGAGCTTTTCCCTGTAGAAAGACAATTTCTCAGCTCTCATAGTGGTAATCTGAACCTTCAATTATCCGCAGATTCATTACTGTCAGACGCACTCAGCCAATCTTCACACCTATGAATCTCATGTTGGTCGGATCAACCAGCCATCAAATTCACACGCCTAACGGATCAACTCAGGATGAAGCAATTTGGTAATTCAGTTCATACGCTTGGACAGATAGTTCAAGATGAAGAAACTCAGCAGTCGGTTCATACACTTGGACAAATAGTTCAAGACGAAGTAACCATTCTAAGGTGACAGATGCCTTATATAGGTAGAATTCTCAGAAACGGTTCAAAAACAGAAAATCCAACGCACAGGTCATTAATGCTGAAAACTGACAACGACAAAATTAATGCATTAAAAAAAAACGGTTCAACACGGAAGTGTTCAACGTACAATGCATTAATTCCAAAATTCAAACTCGGTTCACACACCTGGAAAAGCAGTTCAGGTTGAAGCAGCCAATTATCCAGTTCTTACACACCTGGCAAAACAGTTCAGGTAGAAGCAACACAGCAGTCGGTTCATACACTTGGACAAATAGTTCAAGACGAAGTAACCAGCCATCAAGTTCAGACGCCTGACGGCTCAACTCAGGATGAAGCAGCTTGGTTCAGGTAGAAGCAACACAGCAGTCGGTTCATACGCTTGGACAAATAGTTCAAGATGAAAAATACTCCTGAATGCCAGGGGCATAATTACTAGGGGCATAAGGCGTTATTGTCCAAGTTCACTCATGGGGCATTAAAGCATATGTTGTCCGCTATTTCTCTTGTTTTAAATACGATTGATGTTGACCAAAATACAGACAGCGGTTGACAGGTAGCATCAGATGGTATCAATGTCACGTTTTCGGAAACTGTTAAGGAAGTTGTTAAACAAAGTAGTGATGACAGTCTATTCCCCACAGAAAAGCTCCCCAGCATGATCTTGGGTTAACTGTTATTCCCCAGCGGAATTTCAAAGCATCTGTTTCAAAAAATCAAATTTCCCCGCAGAGGTTGCATCTCCAGCAGGTATTCAGAGGGCTTATATTCTCAAACAGTGATGTTTTTCCCCATCTGAGTATTCTCCAAACAGAAAACAACGATGTTGACCAAAATACAAACAGCGGTTGACAGGTAGCATCAGATGGTATCAATGTCACGTTTTCGGAAACTGTTAAGGAAGTTGTTAAACAAAGTAGTGATGACAGTCTATTCCCCACAGAAAAGCTCCCCAGCATGATCTTGGGTTAACTGTTATTCCCCAGCAGAATTTCAAAGCATCTGTTTCAAAAAATCAAATTTCCCCGCAGAGGTTGCATCTCCAGCAGGTTTTATCTGTCAGAATAAAATTTCTCCATTATTCTCCATGAGTGTATTTGATGGTGACGGTATCCTCAATCACTTGCTGCTAAAGCCGAGGTTTTGGAGCTTTTCTCTGTAGAAAGACAATTTCTCAGCTCTCATAGTGGTAATCTGAACCTTCAGTTATCCGCAGATTCATTACTGTCACTCAAGATGCTTGTCAAGGTTTGTTTTTTGGATAAAGCCACAGCAAATCAAATGGCAATGTTTCTCTCACTGCCTTTGCCAATGCCTGCTTTGCTTAATGCCGGTTCTAGTGATTCTTATTGGACATCTATTCAAATGTTGCAGTGTGCTTTGCCTTTCTCGTTTGATTATACTGGAGGGCGATACTTGATTAGGCAGAGAGAAATCTTAGAATTTGATTTTACTAGAGATATTTTGCCTTCAATTATAAATGAAACATATTCAGATTTGTATCCCCAAGCAGAAAAGTGTTTGTTAATGGCAACTGTGTTTGTCTGTTGGACAAGCGGGACTTGACTGTCTAATACATCCCCAGAAGAGTCATATCACCTCCTGGGAAGGATTCGTCAACTTCATCAGTCAAATGTATTCAAAGGGCTTATATTCTCAAACAGTGATGTTTTTCCCCAGCTGAGTATTCTCCAAGCAGAAAACAAAATTGTCTTCCCCAGCGGAGTTTATCCCAGTTTCAGGACTTTTCAACAAGATCTCATCAACATCTGAGAATTCCCCAGCATAATACTGGAATCCCTGACATCAAATCTAGGATATCTTCTTGCACAGATCAATTCTAGAATCTCCAGCACAATTAACAGTCTCAAAACAGGACGGGATTTATTTTCCCAGGCTGCTGATTACATTTTGGAGCTGCTGTTGCTGTTTTCTTAGCATACATATCATCTCATCATACATACATACATGTGTGTGTTCATAGCATACATACAGCATTTCTCGTTTATTTCGAGAACATCATTACACGATGCATTTCATGCATTTTCTTTTCCTAACAAAATATTTTACTGTTTTTCTGTGAAAATTTTCAATATTTTTTTTCAGGAAATCAATTAAACTACAGAATTTTGGTCTACAGCTTCGCTGTGATAAAACGTGTTACTAAGGCAAGAGACCACGTCTCTGCAATTTTCTTCTAAGGTGACAGATGCCTTATATAGGTAGAATTCTCAGAAACGGTTCAAAAACAAAAAATCCAACGCACAGGTCATTAATGCTGAAAACTGACAACGGCAAAATCAATGCATTAAAAAAAAACGGTTCAACACGGAAGTGTTCAACGTACAATGCATTAATTCCAAAATTCAAACTCGGTTCACACACCTGGAAAAGCAGTTCAGGTTGAAGCAGCCAATTATCCAGTTCTTACACACCTGACAAAACAGTTCAGGTAGAAGCAACACAGCAGTCGGTTCATACACTTGGACAAATAGTTCAAGACGAAGTATTTAAGTTTAAAAAACTGTTTTATAACTTATTAAATTTTATTAAATATATTTCAAAATATTAATTTTAATATATATTTAATTATATTTTTAATTGATTAAACTAAAGAATATATAATAAAAAAATTAAAATATTTAACACAATTATTAAAAATATCAAATAATATAACAAAAATAATTAACTAAAAAAAAAAAAGGAAAAAACAATGGGCCGTCCACTGGATGGACGAGCCCCTGATACAACCATGGCATTTTTACAAAATATTTTCAATCTATGGCAATTTTGCCATTTTTTTTCAAAAACGTGGCATTTTCAAAAAAAAAAAATCTAAAAAACCATCTCTATAAAATAATATTTTAGTCTTTCTTCTTTACTTCTCCACAGTACCCATCCTTTCTATGCTTTCTTCTCCAGCATTAGTGATAGATTCGGCGCTGATTTGATTGATTGTCAGGCAGATGGCATTTATCACTAAGAGAGTGAATGAATTCAACCACCAACGACCACTCTTTCTCCCCCTCTTGGAACGAATTCATCCAGGTATGTTTCTTTCTCTCCTCTTTGAAACAGCTCTCTTCATCCATCCATTTTTGTTCCGTTGTGTGAAATAGACGTGCCATTTTGTTGTGTGTCTGTCGATCTAAACATAGCCCTAAATTTTGAAAACTTTGAGTTTTGTAAAGTTTCTATATAATTTAATAGGAAAATATGTCTGAGTCCATTGGCTCCAATGCTTTCCCTGCAGAAGGGAAGAAAACGCATTAGAATCAAGAAAGAACGGCCATGCATGCACCTACTCCAAAGCTGAGAAGAGATTTTCTTTTTGGTTCTAGAAGGGATTAATTTATAGTGTTTTTGTTTTGTTTTGTTTTGGGACAGTAGGGGCTTGTGTGTGTCTGAGTTGTACGAGGTTTTGAGTTTGTGGGGATAGTTGTAGCTCTTTGTTTCCTTTGTCTGCTATATGCCTCTGACAGTAGGGGCTTGTGTAAGTTACTGCCCAACTTCATTTTGTAAACTATCATTTACATTTACTGGTGAGAACGTTGTACTGGGAACGTTGTGTCAGCCAACACCGTGAACATTCATTTACATTTTTTAATAGGACAAAATGTCTGAGTCGTGTGGATCCAATGATTTCTCCCATGCAGACGGGGAAGTTTCTAGTACGAAACAGACACATAAAGAACTTTATGCATACGGGGAAGTTTCTAGTACGAAACGGACACATAAAGAACTTTATTTAGAAGAAGCTGAGTCAACAGAGAAGATGGCCTCTACAGCAGAACAACAAAGTCGTTCTAAGGTAATAATTAAATTTGGTGTTGTCCTTGTTCCTATTTGGTATTATGAGTCTCTAACACTTTGATTGGTATCTTGTTCTCTTTTCTTTAATTTTCTGTTGAAATCGAGATTGTGGTTGAAAATGATTGAAAATGGAGGCAGTGACAACAACATTCTAAAACTAACTTAACCAAATTTTTAAATTGGTTTTTCTAACTCGATTTCAACAGAAAATTAAAGAAAAGAGAACAAGATTTCGTCTAACTTTAATTTAAACAGAAAATTAAAGAAAAGAGAAGAGAAAATAAAAGTGGAGAGAAAGATGAAGGTAAGAATGGAGATTGTGGTTGAAAATGATTGAAAATGAGAGGGAAAGTATTTATAGATTGAGATTGGAAACTGAGTTCGATCCAGTTGTGGGCTGAGTTTTTTCCAATTGTCATGACTCAGTTTGTTATAACTGAGTCATGTCATAACTAATTTAACTGCCTCTATTTTAAGTAAGATGGAGTTGATTTGTAACTGAGTTGGTGAGTGGTTCTGAGTTTAAGTGAGTTAGCTGAGAAAGTATTGAACTGCAATGTATTCTCCTTTTTCCTGCCAAAACCGAATGTTCACTTTCCTCTTTTTACCTTGCATTGTTAGTACTGTTAGAAGTTATGATGTAACTTGACCCTGATTCATACTTGTGACTGCTCTCTTTTGGACTATTGGTTTGTAAATGTATGAGATCACAGTGCACGGAATATATTGGCATCCAATGTATTTTTGAACTGGTTTTATGTAGTATATGATAGTTTAGGATTTAAAATGAATGTTGTTTATGCAGTGAACTATGCTGATGAGTTTTTTACTTTCTGCCGAGTTACTAATGCGTTTTTCACTTTTTGCAGAGTTACTCTTTTGGTCGTGGCTTGAATGCAAGGTGGGCATGGTAATCAAGGCATGAATTTTAAAGATGGTATCAAGTTACTCTTTTGCAATTTACTATGCCATTTTAATTCCACTGCAACTTACAAGTTACTAATATTACCTTTTTTTCAAAAAATTTTATAACGGCTGGTTTGCTTGATTTTCATGATGAGAAAGTAGGATGACATTTTATCTTTTCTATCCCTTATAGAATATGTTCTTACTTCTTTAGCATGTTGATGATAATGTACATTAAATAAAAGATAACCAAAAGTAATGCGAGGAGGTGAGAATATTAATGTTGATGTTCATCTTACCAATGGGTGAATAAAAGCTAAAAACAATTCATGGTTTATGAAGTTGTATCTAGTCCTAGCTAAATTCTTTAGCCCATATGCTACTAATACACTATAAAACTATGCATCCTGCCATGACAAATGTACTTCAGTGTATCATGTGGCACTACAAAAAGGAATTTGTGCTTGTAATAAACATATATGCTCCATATGTAAAGAACTACATAGTGTGAATAGAGAGGAATCAGTGATGTGTGAGATAGGCCCCCAAGATATCCTTTAGATTCGAGAACTAGCGCATGAGCAGGTGCAAGAGCCGAAGCATGAAAAAAATTCTTTTCACACTTTTATTTTATATCTATTTTTATTTTACTTATTTTATTATACTTTTGTATTCTCTTGTACTTTTGTATTCTCTTGGTATGAAAACTTGGTTCCTCTGTGTTCTTTCTTTTTTTTTTTTCCTTGCATTCTCCATTATAGTGTTTGACATTTTCATTTTCTATTTAGATTGCTTGGTGCCACTGCTAGTGGAGTGATGAGAGGAGGAAAGATCATCTTTTCTCTCACCCATTCACTCATTCTCACATCAAAAAGTCACAAAAACAACTTTCATTTTTACAATAAAATAGTCTCATTTTTCTCTTCCATTACAAACATTAACTAGGAAACTATTGGCTTTACACTAAGAAGCTTTCTCGTTTTGTTGGTTCTACTCAAAGTTTGAAACTTTGGTGGTGTTTGGGATTTTTCAGTTAAAGTAAATTTTTGACAGATGTTGAAATCCTCAAATAAAGACATTTTTTTTAAGGTAATGATGGTCTTCGTTTGTTTTGTCTCTTGGTGAATATCATTTGAAATCCAATAGGATCAAGGACCTACCTCTTAGAATCTCAATTTGATCTCAGGTTTATTGTTAGCAATATTTCTATTACCATTTTTTAAATTTTTTCCAGTTGTGTTATTTTCTTTGCAGCAACATTATTGATAGGAATCAGTGGAATTGATAATATATTTTGATGATAAAAGTGTCAGGTAATCTTCCATCTATTGATTATTATTTTACTAATTTGTTAATATTTTATTTTTTATGAAAATCATATATATAAATAATTAAATTGTTGCTAATTTATATCATTCTATTTAATACATATTATTAATAATATAATACAATAATTAATTATAAATAAAATTAATCACATAATACTTGTTTTTAAAACTAAAAGATAATTATTTATATGAATTATAATTTTATTAATTTACAGATTTTCCAATTTTTTAAATGAGATAAATACATTTAAGTAATATGAATATTTGCTTAATAACATATAAATAAAATAAAATAGTCGAGGATCTTCAAGGATTAACCAACTAATAAAATGATTTTTCATTAAAAAATTAATCATATAATATTTATTTTTCTAATTATTTAGAAATAAAATATATTATTATTTTGTGAACAAAACACAACAATTTAGCATTGCACACCTTGTTCTCTTTGTTTCACGTTTCATGATGCAGACATTTGTAGTCGTCGTTGAAGACTATTGTTGTAGTTGTTACTCTTGTCGTCGTTGTTTAACTTGTCGTCAAACTCGCCCCAATTGTTGATGATATCATTGTTACAAACTAAGATAAGTCTCTAAAAACATTTATAGTGCAATTTCATGTTCTTTTCAACCAAAAAACAGAGAAGGACAAAACCCATTGTTTGTTTAAAATTAAGAAAATATCAAAACAAATACCTCAATGGATATCTCCTTGATATCACCTCATTTAAAAAAAATATTTTGAAACAAATTTTATAGCCAAAATAAATTTAAAGTTATTAAAGAAAATATTGTAACACTTGAATTTTTTATTTCTATTCGTATGAGTTATACATTATTTGTATGAGTTAGTGTTGTTACACATTTTCTTTTAATAATTATTAAGTTACAATATTTATATCTAAAAAGAAACCAAATTAGAATATAATTGTAACACTTTGAATGTTTTATTTTGCATGTTTTTTATTTTTATGACAACAATATTCTATTTAAACTTATGTCTGATCACTTATTTAAGTATCTTAATATTAAATAGTATATGTTTTGTTTTATATTTGAAACACTTAAAAATGTAGTATTGATTTTGACTTGTTAAATAGTTTTTAAAAAGAAATGATTTTGCTTTTAGAATTAATTTAATTCAAAATTAAAATTTATAAATTTTAACTCAAGAAGTGTTTTGTACACTTAAAGTTAATAATAACTTCACTTTTATTTGAATATATTTAAGCATAAATATTTTATTTTTTCAATTAAAATAAACTTTTAATTAATTAATTCAATTAAATAAGCATCTACCCAGAAGACGAGTCAAGGTCGGGAAGAGTCTCAAATGGAGTTGACACCTGAAAGAAGTGGCAATGTAGATGCCTGTGAAGTGAAGTCAACATCTACCCAGGAGACGGGTCAAGGTCGGGAAGAGTCTCAAATGGAATTGACACCTGAAAGAAGTGGAAATGTAGATGCCTGTGAAGTGAAGTCAGCATCTACCTAGAAGACGAGTCAAGGTCGGGAAGAGTCTCAAATGGAATTGACACCTGAAAGAAGTGACAATGTTGGATCTTTTAATGTGGAAGAACACATGGAAATGAGTGGCTATGTTTTAGAAGGGTTTGGCAACTATATGATGTTGAGAGATTTTCAGACATTGAGTGAAAGTACTGATATTCATGAAGATACTGATGTCCATCAAGGATCAGTTGAACAAGTTCCCAAATTAGATGATTATCATAGTGTAAATAAGTACTGACGATAATACCAATGTGCATGTTGAGAATACTCTAGATGAGGTTCATTCGTCTTGTTTTGGAGATTCAGATGGGACTCCAGTTCAGTTTATGGAAACTAATCCTTTAAGCGAAGTCGACACTAGAGATCTTGATGCCTCCTTATTCTCTCAGTTAAAAAAATGCTTTGAGGATCCTCTATCAACTTCAAACTTCAAATGATTCAAAACCCACAAGGTAACTATTTCTACCGTGATAATCTTTTATTTCTCTAACATTATAAAGCAATGGAAGATGGAGAGTATCAACATCCCCCTTAGAAGAGCTACTGAATAAGGACGAACCTAGAACATAAAGAGCATATGCTCTAGCATGTCGATCTAGTTCAACTTCAGTTGCATTTGGTGGAACTTCCATAAATTTTTCTCTAAGAACAGATAACTTGATAGCTCCTCGAATTACACCGTGTTTTTTAAAGGTCAAATCTTGTTCAAAACATTTGTTGGACTAAAAAGTCATGTCATCATCAATCCCAGTGACAGGCTTGCCTGTAATGTGCAAGCCTGTAATTTTGAGCACATCTTTCAAGCCAAAAACTAATTTAGTATCACCAAATTCAAATCCACATGTGTTGGTATTAAAATGGGATACCACACATTCTAGAAGCTGGTTATCATGTTGACATTTTCCAAGTTCGCTTAAACGTGGAAAACCGGTATCTTCTAGACGAGTTTTAATTCTTTGGTCTAATGTCCAGTTTTGCAATTGTTCCAAGTGCTCAGTGCAAATAAGCATTTTCGAGAAGATGCCCAATTAATCTGGAGGCCCTGTTCTAATTTTAAAAATGGACCTATTATTATTTTTTAAAGTTCAATTTTAATAATTAAAAACAACGAACAAAAAATAAAGTTATAACATAAGATTACATACATATTCTCTATAATATATTCTCAAAAATGTATTTAGACATTCTAAGCTAAAAAAAAATTATATTGGCATATTAGTCAAGAGAACTATTCCTTTGACAATCTCAAAATGAAAGGTGATAAATTATGTTACTATCCATATGATATGAAAAACATATGGAGTCATTTACTATAACTCAAAATAGTATGCAAAAGAGATATTCAAATTAGCATCAATTATAAGTCACGTAGTGAGGCTTTAATCTCAGGGAACAATCTACAAACTCAAGTAAGATCATCAAATAACTAAATATAAACAAACATAAAAACAATTTGGCACCTGAACAACATGTTTTTCCTAACTTTCAAATCATTAGTAATAGCTCATTACCCAACTGTCTTATATAAGTATACATTCATATCAGTATTTTTTAGGCTTGGAAGTTGCTCATTCTAAACAAGGTATCTCCCTTTGCAAAAGAAAATACTGCCTCGATCTCTTGACTGACTCAGGATTCTTGGGATCTAAACCTGCCCGCACACCATCTGATCCATCAAGTTATGTTATGATGATAGTTTTGCCTTTGTTGATATTCCTTCCTATCGAAGACTATTGGCAGACTGTTATATCTCAATACTACAAGATCCGATATCACCTTATAAACAATATTCCATGAACTGAGTATTCCATGAACTATCAATAGTACTCATTATATGCACATTGAGCATTCATCCAGGAGCGACCAAAATGTATCAAGACTTGAATAAATTATTTTGGTGGCCTGGGATGAAACGTGATGTAGCGCGTTTTGTGTATGCTTGTTTAATTTTTTTTAGTTTTTTTAATCACATCAATTGTTTAGTTGGATTTTTTTAAAATTTTTATTAATTTTAAAACTACATGTTTTTTCATCGAGATCCATTATTAATAGGCCAAGCTTTTTTGCTTTTTAAAAATGTTCCATTTAAATGTGATAGAGATTGAGAAAGAGAGAAGATAAACTGTTTGTTAGAATCATATTATATTATCTTGATCAATGAAGATACAGGGGGCTCTCTATATATAGAGAGATCTAGATCTAACAAACTCTAACAAACTAAGCTGCTGTAACAGAAAATGGACAGCTCAGCAACAGAAAAATAAAGCAGCCACAGAAAAATAAAGCAGCCACTAACAGTCTTATACTCTATTAGTCCCCTTTAGAAGTGGAGGGTGGTCTGAACAGGTCACTCTTGTTGAACACCTTCAACTTTCCACGCAGAGGTATAAACTTGGAAGCAGACAGTGTGTCAATTCCTTTCCTCACCCCTTGAAGACCATTGGAAGGCAATCAAAAGAGTAGATTTATTTGAGTTTAACTACTTTGGGTTGATACAAATTACTTAAATTAATTTTTTTTAGGGGAACGACATCATGAAAGAGTACAAGATGTTCTAATAGAAGAGTCAATTGAGGTGGAACATCAGAATTTGGATGATGGTATAATTTTTTTCTATGTATTTCCACATTTGTCTTCATATGAAACTATTGAACTGATAGGTAGGGGGTAACACCTATTGTGATAAGTAGGGGGTAACACCTACTTATCACAGTAGGTGTTACTCCCTACTGTGATAAGTAGGGGTAACACACATCGAGTCACTTATCTTTTCTAGATGAGTCTCTTGGTGACAGATTAATATTAACAATTTCAAGAATTAAAATAACATAAATCAAAATGCTTCTCTTCTAAATCAATTTGAGGTCTAGTGACACTAGCATGTTGCAGTCCACCCATAATGGATCTGAAGAAGGTAGGATCAGAGACATGATTTGAACCATATTTGGATAGTTTTGTACGGGAAGCCATACTATTTGCAGTTGCCATGTTAGCCTTTGTTAATAAGTCCCTTATGTATTTTTAGAAGTTCGCTCTGACGTGTTTCGCTGCATGGTCGCCGGGCGAGGAAAGGAGATTCGCCGGGCGAGCTAGGATTCGCCAGGCGAATGTAGATATTTGTTTCAGATGAGAAACGTGGCTTAATGTGAGCCAAGTTAATAAAACAATTCGCCGGGCGAGGGAGAATTCGTCGGGCGAATCTGCGCGATCAGAATTTTGTTCATATTTCATTTTCACTCCATTCTTAGTTTTTTCATGGTTTTGGGGTGGTTTTTGATCCCCAACTTCATCAAATTTTATAGTTTGATAGTATAGCTTAGAAAACCAACACTGATGCTTGCTGATGGATGATTGGAGGTGGATTGCTCTTTGGCAGGTGTTGAAACCAGCGTGATAACAGTGGTTTATCTCTTCTAAGTAAACGCCCGTGAATCCCACAAGGAGTAAATCTCCGGAAGTGGATTTCACATCGAGTCACTTATCTTTTCTAGATGAGTCTCTTGGTGACAGATTAATATTAACAATTTCAAGAATTATTTTTGGAATTTCACTTAATAAACGTGATTGTTCTGAAGGAGATTCCAGCTTCATTTTTCGGTCCATATATTCAGCAACTATATGAAAATATGGTTAGGGCACCACCATTTCATGACATTTTTGTTAAATGTGATGTCGTATTATAAGCTAAAAGCCAAAATGTTCTAAATTCTTTCCTAATTTAATTCTGACAATTTGTGCCTTAACCATATTTTCATACACTTGCTCAGTACATGAATAGATTATTTCTCTCATTATGAGAAAAACTTATCTCCCTATAACTTATTTCTCTCATTATGATTATCTTCTTGATATGCGGAGAGGACCCAATAAATGGGTAAAATTTCTAGTGGACCCTTTTGATAACACGTGCAAGCTTTGTTTTAAAGGAAAAAGTTAAAAGGTAATGATGATAAATTGTGATTTTAGGGTGTGATTATTGGTTAAAGACATATTGGAGATTAAAAGATATGATGATACACTATATCATGTCTTTTTACTACATATAGTTTCGCCACCTTCGGTATGGTACATATTTGTCGATGACGATATTGAAGCATCGCTTACCATTGATTTGTTGGATGACGATGATCCTTGGATCATAACCACTGACTTTACCCCTAGTGAGACCATCAGTCGATGCAGGTTTTATAGAATTTCAATTTCGCGTCGTTACTGTGCCTTAACCATTTTTTCATAACAAACTATAAACTTCCATAACAATCTCACACTCCCTCACCTCACTCTATATACTACTAAGAAGCATAACAAATAGTGCAAAAAAATACCTCGTCGGCTTTGATACTTTTTAACAGTTCCCAATCCTTCCTTTTAGCATCATACTTTTGAATTGGCGGATAAGGATAAGACGATAGGTTTGGCTTTAAGGAAGGTATTCTCTCAAACACAACAGCCTAACATTAGTTAAGTAAAATATGATTAGCAAAAAATAAACCACATGAAAAATATAAGATATTAACAAAAAAATGGAAATTAACAATTACCTCGAAAACTGGCGCACACGCTTTAAAATTATGTTGTTTTCCCACCGTTGCAGTTTTTAGCTTATTAAAAGATTCATGTAAGTCTTCATAGATTGCTTTAGCCCAGTTCACTTTTTCATATACATCAAGATCTTCTACCATTGACCAAGAACCTGTACGTGGTTTCTTGGGATCCGGGGAGGGTATTAAAAACATCTCGATCAAAAAATAACATAAGACTTTCTTAAAATTTAATCTACTTTCCTCGTCGTCTACATTCATTTTTTTCAAAAGTTCTTTAATTGTTGTTGTAGAGATTTTCCCAGAACTATCTACACCATATCCTATCACTAGGTCCTTAACAAACTGAGGAACTTTTTTTGCAGCAGGGGCGTTGAAATCAGGCCCGGTATTTTCAATACCCAACACATCTGCCACCTCTTTGGCACAGAAAGAAAAAGATGTGTTATTGTTTAACACAAACCTTCTATTTGTTGGATCGTAAAAATCACCAAACAGTTTAATAAAAATTGATGAACTCTCTTTGTTATTTTGTATGTTTATAACATCATAAAATACAGAGTTCACCATGAGGTTTTTCTTTTCAGGGCTCAATTTAAGTTTGCAAAGAGTCGCTAAGCCAGCACCAAGTTTTACAGATTGCCTAATTTCTTCAGTATCCTAGAAAATAAGTACAAAATTAAACACTTCAAACAATATTACTCTTAAAAGGATTCAATTGAAATTTACCCTAATAAATTCCAACAACATACATAAATACTAAACACACAGCGGGTTTTTATCCTGCAAATAGCGGCCGCTCACTTTATGACTTATTTTCAAAATAAGGGTTTTTATCAATTTTTTCCATCCAAAACGCAAAAGCAGCCAAATAGCGCTACCGATCCGCTACGTCGCCGCTATTATCCTGCAAATAGCGGCCGCTATTTCCACTTCTCTAAATAGCGGAAAGCGGCTTTATAGCATAGCGGAGAGGTGGTCTGACGCCACGCTATAGCGCCGCTATTAACATCATAGCTTTTTACATTGTAATTTGTAATATCATACCTTTGTTGACATTGCCATTGAAGAGGAGCCTCTTGCACCAAATTATCACCACTACAGAAACACACACACAAAGTCAAAACCCAATTAAAAAACCAATTAAAAAAAACTAAATTTTAAGCACATTCATACAAATACAAATTAATCAGAATCACATAAACCCTAATTTAATTGATCACTCTAACAAACTCAAATCCATTAATCACATCGAAGTATAATTTAATTGATCACTCTAACAAACTCAGAATCAATACACACACCAAAAACATATACCAATTGAAAATCCAATTCCAACTACATTCCTACGTCAAAGTAACAAATCAAATCGACAACTAAATATGTGAAAGTAATGAGAGAGATTACGATATGAAGAGCAGCAGAGAGGAGAGCAGCGGTGGGTTTCCAAAGAGAAGAGCAACCGGTGGGTTTAGAGAGAGAGAAGAGCAACCGGTGGGTTTAGAGAGAGAGAAGAGCAACCGGTGGGTTTAGAGAGAGAGAAGAGCAACCGGTGGGTTTATAGAAATATATATATAAATTTCTATTTTAAAATTATTGAATATTTTTGAAATAGAAAATTGGGGATTTTTTTTGTTGTTAGAAATAATAGAAGTTATTCCAAGATATTTCCAGAAAAACCTTGTCCATTTTTCCTTCGTCCTCTCTTGTTCTTTAATAAATAATATTTTATAGATTTTTAAAAAAATGCATATAAAATATTTGTATACTATTATTATTCAAAAAATATTATTTTACTATGTCATATATATTTTTTAAAAATAAAAATCTGTCATAATGAAATTCTTGATCGTAATTGATTAAAATATAAAAAGTTTGATATCGTATCATAATCAAAATTTTTTATATTTTTTTTAGTAGAACTCTTATGTATTTTAATTTAAATCTTCATTACATGTGGATCAATTCAATTTTAAACCGGTAAAATTTTAAAAATGTTGTTGATTTATAAATATCAATAACATGTTTACATTTTGAAAGAAAATACAAATAAATGTCGTCCCAAAGAGTTGAACTTTGGACCAACGGCTTATATTCCATTTAACTTAATTAGCAAGTGCCAACTGAGATATCCACCCACCCCATGATTTGTATAGTCCACTAACCAACTATCTCACATTATTATAACTCTTAAAAAAAAGTTAACTATATATTTTTTATTTATTATTAAATTAATTAAATCTGTTAAAAAGTTACAAAATATTTTTATTGTTTTTTTTTATTTTATCAATTTATTATTTTTTTACTTATATTTTCTACTCAATATTTTATTTCTCTTTTTTATTGAAAATATATATATTGTTATTTTTTTTACAAAATTTAGAAATAATTAAATTGTTGCTAATTTATATCATTCTATTTAATACATATTTATTATTAATATAATACGATAATTAATTATAAATAAAATTAATCACATAATACTTGTTTTTAGAACTAAAAGATAATTATTTATGTGATTTATTATTTTATTAATATACAAATTTTAAAAATCACTAATCACACCTCTCTTGTTGATTTGAAATGAAAGGAGATAGAAAACTACTATTTAGTACTCATTACTATAGAGAGAGCGTAAGATTTAAACAGGAAAAGTATTATTATATGGAACACTGTTAGGGCCAATATATAGGTATAGCCTGTCATCTTTGTTAGGGTAGTAAGAATAGACATGTTGATTTGATGCTACAATATCATGACATGTGCAGTACTCATAATGTATAGATATGGATGGATAGTAATCTTTGTTAAAAAATTTAGCTAGTACATGTGATTAGTCACTATTGAATTTCACCTAGTGTCTTGAAAGTACAATTTATATATATAGAATACAACATTTGATTTTCACCCGAAACATGTGTGAGAATTTTTTATTTAATTTTTAATAATAAATATTTTAGTTTAAATTAATAATTTAAAATATTACTCCCTCCGTTTAAGGTTTCGACACATATATTAAGAAACCGAATAATTTAGTCAAATCAGCATACACGAAGAAAATACCGTAGGCTTATACTCCCAGACGCCTCAGGAAGTCTTATACTCCCAGATGTCTCCACAGCCTACGGTATTTCATTCCCTTTTTTTTAGGTTTAATAGCACTTTTTATCTTCGACGAACCAAAATTTGGATAACAATCCTAATCATGATCGTGATGACAATGTTGGTAATGTTCAGGATGACGATTTTGATCACGATCATGATATGGATGACAGTCTTATTTATGGTGAGACTGTTGAAGTTGAAAATCCTAATAATGATGTGGATGCTGGGGTTGGCAATCTTGGGGTTGGCAATGCTAATAATGATGAGGAAGTTGAGGTTGGCAATCCTAATAATGATGAGGAAGTTGGAGACGGCATTCCTAATAATGATGTTATAGGTGTTGAGGTTGGCAATAATAATAATGATGTTCTAGATGCTGGGGTTGACAATCATGATGAGGGTGAGGTGAGTGATCCTTATTTATTTAAGTAAATTCGATTTATTTAATAGTACTTTTTAGATATGTGATATTTATTATTTTTATTTGAATTTCTATTTTATAATTGACAGCATAATAATAATGTGAGGAATTATACCCGTGGTGAAGGAGTATTAAGAACAAAACCCCGTATGCGTACAATGTCTACGCCGGAACAAGAATTGCGTGTTAGAAAGAAAACAAAGCTTAGAAAGCCAAAGATCAAGTGAGAACTTGGTTCAAAGTTTATTTTCTCATGTTTTGAATAGTTTTAGACCTCTGTTTGTGCTTAGACCAATGTTTGTGTTGTTGTTTTTATACACTTCTAATATTAATAATAAGCACAAACAGAGGTCTAAAACTATTCAAAACATGAGAAAATAAACTTTGAACCAAGTTCTCACTTGATCTTTGGCTTTCTAAGCTTTGTTTTCTTTCTAACACGCAATTCTTGTTCCGGCGTAGACATTGTACGCATACGGGGTTTTGTTCTTAGTACTCCTTCACCACGGGTATAATTCCTCACATTATTATTATGCTGTCAATTATAAAATAGAAATTCAAATAAAAATAATAAATATCACATATCTAAAAAGTACTATTAAATAAATCGAATTTACTTAAATAAATAAGGATCACTCACCTCACCCTCATCATGATTGTCAACCCCAGCATCTAGAACATCATTATTATTATTGCCAACCTCAACACCTATAACATCATTATTAGGAATGCCGTCTCCAACTTCCTCATCATTATTAGGATTGCCAACCTCAACTTCCTCATCATTATTAGCATTGCCAACCCCAAGATTGCCAACCCCAGCATCCACATCATTATTAGGATTTTCAACTTCAACAGTCTCACCATAAATAAGACTGTCATCCATATCATGATCGTGATCAAAATCGTCATCCTGAACATTACCAACATTGTCATCACGATCATGATTAGGATTGTTATCTAAATTTTGGTTCGTCGAAGATAAAAAGTGCTATTAAACCTAAAAAAAAGGGAATGAAATACCGTAGGCTGTGGAGACATCTGGGAGTATAAGACTTCCTGAGGCGTCTGGGAGTATAAGCCTACGGTATTTTCTTCGTGTATGCTGATTTGACTAAATTATTCGGTTTCTTAATATATGTGTCGAAACCTTAAACGGAGGGAGTAATATTTTAAATTATTAATTTAAACTAAAATATTTATTATTAAAAATTAAATAAAAAATTCTCACACATGTTTCGGGTGAAAATCAAATGTTGTATTCTATATATATAAATTGTACTTTCAAGACACTAGGTGAAATTCAATAGTGACTAATCACATGTACTAGCTAAATTTTTTAACAAAGATTACTATCCATCCATATCTATACATTATGAGTACTGCACATGTCATGATATTGTAGCATCAAATCAACATGTCTATTCTTACTACCCTAACAAAGATGACAGGCTATACCTATATATTGGCCCTAACAGTGTTCCATATAATAATACTTTTCCTGTTTAAATCTTACGCTCTCTCTATAGTAATGAGTACTAAATAGTAGTTTTCTATCTCCTTTCATTTCAAATCAACAAGAGAGGTGTGATTAGTGATTTTTAAAATTTGTATATTAATAAAATAATAAATCACATAAATAATTATCTTTTAGTTCTAAAAACAAGTATTATGTGATTAATTTTATTTATAATTAATTATCGTATTATATTAATAATAAATATGTATTAAATAGAATGATATAAATTAGCAACAATTTAATTATTTCTAAATTTTGTAAAAAAAATAACAATATATATATTTTCAATAAAAGAGAAATAAAATATTGAGTAGAAAATATAAGTAAAAAAATAATAAATTGATAAAATAAAAAAAAACAATAAAAATATTTTGTAACTTTTTAACAGATTTAATTAATTTAATAATAAATAAAAAATATATAGTTAACTTTTTTTTAAGAGTTATAATAATGTGAGATAGTTGGTTAGTGGACTATACAAATCATGGGGTGGGTGGATATCTCAGTTGGCACTTGCTAATTAAGTTAAATGGAATATAAGCCGTTGGTCCAAAGTTCAACTCTTTGGGACGACATTTATTTGTATTTTCTTTCAAAATGTAAACATGTTATTGATATTTATAAATCAACAACATTTTTAAAATTTTACCGGTTTAAAATTGAATTGATCCACATGTAATGAAGATTTAAATTAAAATACATAAGAGTTCTACTAAAAAAAATATAAAAAATTTTGATTATGATACGATATCAAACTTTTTATATTTTAATCAATTACGATCAAGAATTTCATTATGACAGATTTTTATTTTTAAAAAATATATATGACATAGTAAAATAATATTTTTTGAATAATAATAGTATACAAATATTTTATATGCATTTTTTTAAAAATCTATAAAATATTATTTATTAAAGAACAAGAGAGGACGAAGGAAAAATGGACAAGGTTTTTCTGGAAATATCTTGGAATAACTTCTATTATTTCTAACAACAAAAAAAATCCCCAATTTTCTATTT